GACCTTTACGTAAACACTTAACCTAATTCTGTTATTTACTCCTTATGCACACAACTTTTCAGGAGACTAAGCATTGCCAATATAAACAAGATAATCAAATTACCTAACCTGAAAATTATTGATGTTTTCATTCCAGGCAACCAAATATATTAATTTTATACATATCTATGACCTATGTTACCTCAGTAGAAAGCGTTTCAGAGACCTCAGGAGCAGGGCAAGCAGAATGACCAGAAATTTGGTGGTCAGGGTTAAGGGTACTAACTTTGAGCTGGCTTCAAAGAACAATGATCAACAGTGCAGATTACAATGTCTAAGGGGATCAGTTCCTATCTGACACCGACAACTAAAAAGCAGGTTCGTATGCAGGGTTAGCAATAGTGTTCCCAGAAGGGTCTCTATCATAAGGCAGTTTCTAGTTCAGTGTTTACAGGGGCCCACTTAGGTGGAGGAAGAAAAGGAGCTGATTAGAGTCAATTATCCAGAGAAAAGAAGGCCTACGAAAAACTGGCCAGAAGAAAGAGCACAGTTATATCAAGTTACGTTCCAAACTGGCTTCCAGACATAGTGGGAAGAAACAAAAGGCACTTTAGGAAACAAGAATGAAGAAACCTAAGAACTAAGTAAATGTGGCAAGAGTTAGGGAAGACAAGCCTACTCCAAATTTACCAGACTTAAAACAGCAAGACTAATTGTGGCCACCAGCCACGGATGATGATGAGGATTTTACTTTACTGTCAAGCTTTTCTTGCAGTGGTTTTAGAAATGGGCCAAACTCACAACTGGAAACTTTAGAATCTGTAACTAGATAGAGGGCTGGGGCATGCAAAGATGGGCAATACCTCTCAATTGTTTGGTGATGTAAAAGGTCCCAAAAGATCCCTATAATTTTTAAACATTTAGTCAATGTCACGGAAGACATTTAACAAATAAAAATAAAAAGTCAACAAAAGGTTTTTTCTTTTTTTAAACAACCATCAAATTTGCCAAAATTTCCTTTCTGGGCTTTTGGCAAATGGCTGAAGCTGTCGACAGACTAAAAGAGCCCTGGTGGCACAGTGATTAAGCACTGGGCTGCTAAACGAAAGGTCGGCAGTTCGAACCCACCAGCTGCTCCGCAGGAGAAAGATGTGGCAGTCTGCTTCCATAAAGATCATAGCCTTGGAAATCCTATGGGACAGTTCTACCCTGTACTACAGGGTTGCTATGAGTTGGAACTGACTTGAAGGCAATGAGTTTGTTTTTTTTGGGGTGGGGGCAGGTGGTTATCTATAGACTATTGTGGGTATAGTTACCACTAGTCTTCATGGTGTCTTTAAGCAAATTAGAAAAATCACGCCTCCCACACGGAATAGATTAGTAAGAATCCGATTTCAGCTCCCACTTACTTCATTAGCCAGAAGTTTTTGTGCAGTGTAAAAACTGCAAGATCCTATACAGTGGCCCTGACTGTGGGTCTCCTGATTGGTAAATATGTGATGCAGTATACTGCTAGGTACAGGTCAAGTCAACTTTGAAAGGTCTATAGCCCCACATTATTTATCTTCTCAAGTTTGCCTAAAAGAAGGTAAGTTTTTTCCATATCCCTAGATACTCTACGCCAGAGCTTTTAAATCCTTTCTTTGCATTAGAAATTCTTTCTGAGAATCTCATGAAAACTACTGACTATCCAGAAACTGCACGTGTAGGCATGTACACACACATACACTTTCATATACGATTTTAAGGAATTCATAGGCCTCCTGAAGCCTATTCATAGACCTCTATAGCTCCTGGGTTAAGAACAGCTATTTTAAACTGTTGAATTTATTTTCCTTGGTCACCCACAAAAAACTCGGGATAAGAAGCTACACAGACACTTCCAGTTCAGAGATCAACACAAAAAAGAACAATAAAGCTAACTGAGCCAGAAAGTGCTGAGAGCACTGCCCATAACAACACATGCAGGCGATCTCAGATCCCTATGCCAAAGAAGTTTCTATGCTAATGTCTCCACATTTACCTGGCCAGCAGATTTTATCAACATTATAAAGCTTACAAGTGATCATTTTCCCATATTTAGGTAAATACCTGGCAATTCATTTCTTAATATGCGGTCTCATTATGAAAGTAATTTGAACCGGTCAGATTTCCTTCTTTGTCTTGACCTATAGAAGTTTACAAATTTCACAGTCCACTGAAGAAACTATATATTAGTTAATATCATAACCTTATATCTTATTATAACTTTGTTAGAATAAGATATAAGGTTAGTGATACAATTAACGTAATAGTAGTTACATACTAATTAATATATTGTCTCTTCATGTACTGTTTGTACTATTATTATATGTTTGTCTATGACTTGCCTCAATTTTTTTGGTGGAATAAAGATTAGAATTAATTAAGAAATATAAATTTATTTTAAAAGAACAAGAATGATTAATTAATAATGTATTAAGATTTTGTTTCTTAGGAATATGTCAGCAATAAAGCTCAACATTGAAATGAATAAACGTAAATAAATAAAACTCCACAGACAGCAGAGACACCCTCTGTGTTCAAAAGTCCCTTACCCCACAAAAAATGTTTATACAGGAGTTGGGTTAATATAAACACTCTTCCATGCAGAATTTAACATTCCCTCCTTTGTACACTCATAACATAGCATGTTGTACATCATCGATTATAGCAACTACTGCTCTATTATTTATAATCATGTTTGTATTTTTCTCTTCTACTATTTCTGGAGCTAACTTAGGAACTGGGATCCTGTCTTATTTATCTTTGTATATTTGGCATCTAGCACAAGGAGGTCCACAGTATCAGGCAAGAGTCTGTTAAAGTATTATAATCCCATTGACCGGGGTCATGTATGTCAAGGGAAATGTAAGAAATGTCACAGTTCACAAGAAAGACTGGTTCCTAAACAGATATTAAACTCGCCACCATCTTTATAACTTTGCTTCAAATCCAGTTTTCTATTAGCTCTGTTTTCCAGCTTTGGTCACTGCAAAGAGAGACCCTTAAGGTGTTCTCCCTTGAAAGGTTAGGCCAAATTTGATCGACATTTATTAATATTTGTTGAATGGCTCAAACAAAGGCAACCTCAGACAGTAAAGGACGTCCCACTAGAATAATGTATACTTCTTTATACCTATTTATCTATCTATCTATATGTATATATGTGTGTGCATGTGAAAAATCAAGTATTTTTATCATCTGCTGGAGAATTACCTCTTTTTTACAACCCTCTTTCATGTGTCTCTCATTAAGCCCCCTGACAGCATCTATGAATGTGGCAGAGTCCCAAAGTGTTAGAGTCAGGGCGCTGGATAGCTCTGACTGGCAGAATGATACTGTATTTGCATTGTCAGAGACTTACAGCAGCTTTTGAAATCTTTCAAAAATTGACAGAAAGAGTTAATTACTTAATCGCTTTGTGCCTCAATTTTCTTATCTATAAAATGATAATAATAGTAGTTCCTACCTTACAGTTATGTTACGAGGGTGAAGTTAACTAAAATATATAAGCATCTGGATACTGCTGACACATAAGCACTCAATAAATGTTAGCCATAATAATAATTACAAAATTTTCTTTTTATTAAAAGTAAGAAAAAACAACTATTCTCAGAATAAATATTGAGATAAATAATTGAGACTACTTGAAAGTATAGTTTAACATATTTTTTATCAAAACAATAAATAAAATATAGTCTGAGGGTGTTTAACTTTAGGCTGAAACACATAAACTGCCATTTTTACAGGAAAAAAAAACAGCTGAATATCAGTAATTATATAAGGCTCACCTTTACCTATGGTATATCTTTCATATCTCCAAATCATGTTAGAAAATTTACATACATTTCCCTGAGAGACATTTAAAATAATTTTAAGAAACGGAACCTCTGTCTGGAATAAGGCTTCCAAAAATAATTTTTAAATGATTAAAGTACTGTCACCATAAGCATCTTCAGTGGGATATGAAATGAATCTGATTATACTATCTAAAAGGCAGTAAATAACTTTCTGGAAAATATTAGTTTTTTAACCAGTATCGTTAAACTTTTCTACTTTAGTTCGCTAAATAGAATCTTATCTGAAAAGACTAACGCAACTGCAAAAAAAGAAAGGAAAAAAAAAAGTCTAGTGATTCCCTTTTCTTTGGCAGAGAAAGTTGGCCCAAATTATTATTTTCAATCATAAATACATTCCAATGGACATGTAAGTTTTCTCACATAGCACTTCCATTTCCTGCTTATCAAAGGTTAAGAAATATGCTTAAAGATAGGCAGTTTACCTGAAAGAGAAAATTAAAATAGTGATTCTCAGATCTGTGAAATATTAATTCCTCAAATGTAGTCATTCATTTATTCACTCATACATTCACTCAACAAACATTTATTGAGTGTCTTCTATGTGCCAAGGCAGTATTGGCTCGGAGATTAGAGGTAAAAATCATTTAGTCCTTAGCCTCAAGAACTTAGAATCCTTGACAAATTAAATAGAAAATAATAAAATATGATAATAGCTATAAAGGCTTCTACGAAAGAAACTTAGCTCAGATTGTAGTAAAACTTCCAAAGAAAGTGTCCTGTAAGCTGAGATTTGAATAAAAAGTAGAGGCTTACTAGGAAAACAGTAGGAGGAGGGTATAGTTTGGTCCCAGGGAGAAAATAGCAAAGTAAAAAAAAATAAGGATATTTGAGAAAACATGGCACGGTCAGGAAAACTGCCAAGTGACTCAGCATGGCTGGAGTGAATGGTTAAAGCAGTAGAAACAATAAGAAATACACCTAAAGAGGTCAGCAGAGACTAGATCATGAAGGATCTTGCATGTAATACTTTGGTGACAAGTTTGGATTTTACCTGGCAGATTTGCAAGTAAATGGGAAAGTGAGAGTGTGTGTACGTACAGATTTCTTTCTATTTTTGCTGTATTTATAACTTAATCAAGATAACAGAGTAGAGAACAAAAAATACGGGAAAAACAAAAACAACAACAACAGAAAACTCACCATGTTTTCCCCTAGAAATATCCACATACTGGCACAGTCTGGGATGGATAATGGTCTTAAGGATTTGAAAGCGCCCTAAAATTTTAATGGAATTTGGTGTGAGAGGAAGCCCATTGCTTCCACAAACATCATGTGGCAAAGCTGAAGCAAAGAAGGTAAAGGCGCCCATTTCAGCATCCTCCAAGGGGAACATTTTCAGAGTCTTAAATCTTCTAGAATTATCTGGAAAAAAAAGAGAATTTTATCATCAACCAACCGAACACTAAGGCAGTGTTTTCTCACCTTAATCATGATTAACAATATACAGCTTGGAAGAACATAACAATTTAAACACAGTAAAAAATATCATACTTAAAAAATTCTAAGATAATATCAAAATAAAAAAAAACCACATAAACACAAATTTATATTGAAGCTCTTAATAAATATCACGGTTCTTTAATGGCATAAAAAGAAAATGATATAATATTTCACATTCAATGAAACCCTAACAGCTTTAAGAGTTTTAGAAGTCCTTTATTACACATTCCTATCAATAAGGGCTTTTCTCCCACCCAACAGCAGCACAGTATACACTCTCCAATTTACATGTATCATTCTCCAGAACAGACCACATTTTAGGCCACAAAGCAAGCCTCAATAAATTCAAAAACATCAAAATAATACAAAGCATCTTCTCTGATCACAACGCTATAAAACCTGAAATCAGTAACAGGGAGAATAGGAGAAAAAAATCAAAAACATGGAAACTGAATAATACCTTGTTAGAAAACCACTGGATAACAGAAGAAATTAAAAATGAAATTAAAAAATTCCTAGACTCAAATGAGATTGAAAACACAACATAGCAAAACCTGTGAGATACAGCAAAAGCAATGCTCAGAGGAGAATTCATAGCAATAAACACAGACATCAAAAAAGAATAAAAGGCCCCAATCAACAGCTTAATCTACAACTTGAACAAACAGAAAAAGAGCAGCAAAAGAAGCCCATAGTCACCAGAAAAAGGAAATAACAAAGATCAGAATAGAAATAAATGAAACAGAAAACAGAAAAAGAATCAACAAGACTAAAAGTTGGTTCTTTGAGAGGATCAATAAAATAGACAATCCACTGGCCAAACTGACAAAGGAAAAGAATGAGAAGATGCAAATAACCAAAATAACAAATGAGATGAGTGACATTACAACAGAACAAACTGAGATAAAAAGGATCATAATAGAATACTATGAAAAACTGTATCCTAACAGATTTGAAAACCTAGAAGAAATGGACAAATTTCTAAAAACACACTACCTATCTAAGCTAGCACAAACTAAAGTAGGAAATTTAAACAGACCCATAACAAAACAAGAAATTGAAGAGATCATAAAGAAACTCTCAACAAAAAAAAGCCCTAGCCCAGACGGCTGCACTGGAGAATTCTACCAAACATTCAGAGAAGAATTGACACCAATCCTACTCAAACTATTCCAGAGTATAGAAAAGGAAGGAGTACTCCCAAATTCATTCTACAAAGCTAGCGTATCTCTGATACCAAAGCCAGGCAAAGACAACACTAAAAAGGAAAATTATAGACCAATATCTTTCATGAATATAGATGCAAAAATTCTCAACAAAATCTTAGCCAACAGAACTCAACAGCATATCAAAAAAAAAAAAAAAAAAAAAAAAAATACACCATGACCAAGTGGGATTCATACCAGGTATGCAAGGATGGATCAACATTAGAAATTCAATCAATGTAAATTATCACATAAATAAAACAAAAGGAAAGAATCACATGTTCATCTCAATTGATGCAGAAAAGGCATTTGATAAAGTCCAAACCCATTCTTCATAAAAATTCTCAGCAAAATATGAATAGAAGGGAAATTCCTCAACATAATTAAGGCCATACATACAAAACCAACAGCCAACATTATTCTCAACGGAGAAAGACTGAAAGCATTCCCCTTGAGAATGAGAACTAGACAAGGATGCCCTTTAACACCACTTTTATTTAATATTGTACTGGAAGTCCTGGCTAGAGCAATAAGGCAAAATAGGGAAATAAAAGGTATCCGAATTGGTAAGGAAGAAGTAAAAGTATCCCTATTTGCAGATGACAGAATACTATGCACAGAAAATCCCAGAGATTCTACAAGAAAGCTACTGGATCTAATAGAAGAATTTCGCGAAGTGACAGGGTACAAGATTAACACATAAAATCAGTCAGATTCCTCTACACTAACCAAGAGAACTCTGGAACGGAAATCGGGAAAACTATACCATTTACAATAGCCTCCCAAAACATCAAATACTTGGGAATAAACCTAACTGGGGATATAAAAAACTTATATAAAGAAAACTACAAAATAGTACTGTAAGAAATCAAAAGAAACCTATATAAATGGAAAAACATACCATACTCAGGGATAGGAAGGCTTAACATTGTGAAAATGCCAATACCACCCAAAGCCATCTACAGATATAATGCGATCCTGATCCAAATTCCAACAACATTCTTTAACAAGGTGGAAAAAATTATCACCAACTTTATATGGAAAGGAAAGAGGCCCTGAATAAGTAAAACATTGCTGAAGAAGAAGAACAAAGTAGGAGGCCTCACATTCCTGATCTCAGAACGTCCTATACAGCCACGGTAGTCAAAACAGTCTGGTACTGGTATAACAACAGACGCATAGACCAATGGAACAGAATTGAGAATCCAGAAATATATCCATCCACCTATGGTCAGCTGATCTTCAACAAAGACCCAAAGACCATTAAATGGGGAAAAGAAAGTCTCGTTAACACATGATGCTGGCAAAACTGGATATCCATTTGCAGAAAAATGAAACAGGATCCATATATCAAACCATACACAAAAACTAACTCAAAATGGATCAAAGACCTAAACGTACAACCTATAACCATAAAGATCTTAGAAGAAAAAATTGAGGAAAGCCTAGGAGCCCTAATTTATGGTATAAATAGAACAGCAAACATAACTAAAAAAGCACAAAGAGCAGAAGATAAACCAGATGATTTGGATGTCATGAAAATCAAATACTTATGCTTATCAAAAGACTTTTCCAAAAGATTAAAATGAGAACCCACAGACTGGGAAAAATTTTTTCTACGATATATCTGACAAGGGTTTAATCTCTAAAATTTACAGACAACTCCAACAACTCAACAACAAAAAGACAAACAACCCAATTAAAAAGTAGGCAAAGGACATGAATAGACACGTCACCAAAGAAGACATCCAGGCAGCCAACAAATACATGAAGAGATGCTCACGATCGTTAGCCATTCGAGAGATGCAAATCTAAACTATAATGACATACTATCTACCACCAGTAAGAATGGCATTAGTCAAAAAACAGAAAACAACAGATGCTGGAGAGGCTGTGGGGAGCTTGGAACTCTCATACACTGCTGATGGGAATGTAAAATGGTACAACCACTATGGAAAACGATGTGGCGTTTCCTCAGAAAGCTAGGAAATAGAAATACCATATGATCCAGCAATCCCACTCCTATGTATATATCCTAGAGAAACAAGAGTCTTGACATGAATAGACCCATTCACTGCAGCATTATTTACAACAGCAAAAAGACGGAAATGCCTAAGTGCACATCAACAAATGAATGGATAAACTGTGGTACATACACACAATGGAACACTACGCAAGGTTAAAGAATAACGACAAATCTGTGAAACATCTCACAACATGGATGAACCTGGAGGACGTTACGCTGAGTGAAATAAGTCATCGCAGAAGGACAAACATTGTATGAGACCACTATTATAAAAAGTCGAGAAAAGGTTTTCACCCAGACAGAAACATTCTTTGATGGTTACCAGGGATGGGCTGGGGGGTGGGTGCGGTAGGGGAGGGAAAACTACTAACTAGATAGTAGACACATACAAACTCTGATGAAGGGAGATATAATATACTATATGGGGGAAGTTAGCACAACATAATCAAGGTAAAGGAAGATATTGAAAGGTATGCAAGAGTAAAATGCAACAACAGTAAATACTAATACATATACAATCCTGCAACAGCAGTAATAACAATAATGTATGAGTGAATACATACATGGATATGTAAGCTGAACAGGCAAAGGAGTGAGTATGGAAGTACACCCATGTACATATACCTGTGTACATGATGCAAATATACCCAGGTATGCAACAGTGCACACAGGGGACACAGTCACTAAAACTTCTTAGCCATAACTGTACACCTCCTGGGCTGAGATACTGGACTTGAGGACTAGGGACTATAGTTTTGGGGGACATCTAGGTCAACTGGCATGTCATAATCCATATAGACAAAGTTCTATATTCTACCTTGGTAAGTAGAGACTGGGGTCTTAAAAGCTTGCAAGCAGTCATCTAAGATTCAACAATTGATCTCTTCCATTCAGAGCAAAGAAGAGTGAAAAACCAGAGTCAAGGAAACAAGTAGTCCAAAGGACTAACGGACCACATGAACCACGCCCTTCTGAGACCAGAACTAGATGGTGCCCAGCTACCGCTACCGACATCTCTGACCAGGACCAAAATAGTAGGTAATGGACAGAGTAAGAGAGAAACGTAGAACAAAATCCAAACTCATAAATAAGACCAGACTCAGTGGTCTGATAGAGATTGGTGGAACCCCAAGACTATGGCTCTTAGACACCCTTCACTCCCAGAGATCATATTATAGCCATACAATTGACAGGCCTATAAAATGAACAATAACACCAGTGACGAACATATACCTCAGAACAATCAACTATTCGAGACCTAAAGGGCAGCATTTTCCCAAAAGCAAAGTTCAGAAGGATGGTAGGGCAGGAAAGCTGGGCGAATGGACACGTGAACCCAGGGAGGAAGGGGGGAGAGTGCTGACACATTCAGGGGTTTGCAACCAATGTCACAAAACAAGCTGTGTATAATTTTTTGAATGGGAAACTAATTTGCTCTGTAAACTTTCACCTGAACAACAATAAAATCTTCAAAAAAAAAAAAAAAAAATAAGGCTCTTTTCTTTACCTAAAGCTTGAATAACCCACAGACCATCAAGAACCTCTCCTTCTCACAGAGAGGAAAGTCAGGAAAGAGGAAATATACCAACCAGAAACTAAATAATCAAGTCGCTATGAGTCGGAATCGACTTGACAGCAGTGGGTTTGGTTTTGGGGTTTTGACTAACACTAGGAAAATGAAACCTGGTAACATAAGGCTCTAGAATGTTAATTGAACAACAAATGAATTTTTGTTTTTGTGGTAGGTGTTTTACATAAGTGATCATCTTCACCTACTTCAACAATCCTGATAGATTGTTATTGCCTCCAGTTTATAGATAGATGTTCCATGCGTAGGGCCTGAGGGGTCCTACTTGCATGGATTCCAAAGTAAATGGTGCCTTCAGAGTTGTGTAATGGGGAAGCATAGATATTAAGAAACTTGCTCCAAACCCATTTGAATCACATCAAGGCAACAATAACAAAAAAGTTCCCCTGACACAAAATTTCTTTCACCCAGCTATCTCATTAAAGACATTCTATTAGTAAAGCACTGCCTTCTCCCCTTCTCAGTTTTTAAAATGAAAATGCTCAAATTCCAGTCCAAGATAGACCATTTTTCTCATGTCTGTCCAGAAACCTCATTTCTTTGAAAAAAAAAAATATATATATATGTATATATACACACAAAAGGAATTTTTCAAATGTATGAACTCATAACAAGGTAGAGAGCCCTGAGCTGCTGAAAAGCAAAATACATATAGAAGAGAACTGTCATAAGATACAGAAAGAAGAAAGCTACAATTTATAATACCTGAGAGGTTTGTTTGGCTTCTTCAGATTTAGTGACTTCAGACTCAGAGAAGTCAGTAACAGCAGTCAGAAGAGGGACTGAAACCAGGATGATGTGAAGGGTTCAAAAATAGGATAACTCTGTCACCAGTCCCTCAACATTTGCCAGGTGTTTACCCTGCAAGCAAAAATAAATTAAAAAATAAATAAATAAAATTCTTCCCTAAAGAAATTGAACAAAATGTCTGAAGAGAATTATAGTAGCTGATAAGGGCACTGGTGTCAAAAGCCAACTCCTCTTAATTCTGTAATTTGTAAGACCCCGATGTAATATCTGGCTCTCTACCCAGCCATTCTCAAACAAAGCAAGTCAATAAACAAGCCTTGTGCATATACACAAAGTCCCTAGACAGCCTCCCTTAACTCTTAAACAACGAATGGTTCAGGGATCATCACATAGTTGAGGTAAGACTACTGCATAAAAGGCAAAAAATAAAATAAACCAAAAATATCTGGACTTGGAGGCACCCAAAATAATTTCTGAAATTAAAAAAATAATAATAACTCAAATATATTTAGAGAGATTTGAGAAGATATTGCATTCTTTATGTAAAAGCATAAGATTATAGAAAAACATATTTCACAAAAGAGTAAGGGGAATGAACAATAAACACGAAAAGATAAACAATCTCATTAATAATCAAGGAAATGCTCATTAAAATTACATGAGAATTATAGTCACCAGATTGACAGAAATTAATAAATCTGCTAACACATAATGTTGGTGAGGCAATGGAGAAATAGGAACTCTCTTTCACTGTAAGTGGGAGTGTAAATTGGTACAATCACTTTGGAAAAAAGTTTGGCACTATTTTGCTATTCCACTCCAGCTAAAACTCTGGCTCACATACAATAACAGATGCATACAAGAAAGATCAGAGCAGGATTGTTCCTAGTATCTCCAAACTGGAAACAACATAAATGTCCAATGACAGGTGAATGGTTAAACAAGCTTTGCCACCTTCACCCAGTGGAAGACTATACAGGATGAGAAATAAGCAAACAGCATGGATAAATTATAGAAATATAACACTGAGTGAAAAAAAGTCATACAAAATTCACACCACTTTCATAAATCTAGAAAAAAAGCAAAACTAAATAATAAATAGTTCAAGAATACTTACATATGTGGTGAGACTATACTCAAAAAGCAAAGGACTAATTAAAAAAACCAAAAAAAAATTCAGGATAGGGTTATCACTGGAGGAAGAGCAGGGCTGATATTAGGGAAAAATCCACAAAAACTTCAAAAACCTTGACTAATATACTAGTTCTTAAGTGTTAGGAAATTAGTGTTCATATTATTGTTATGCTTCATAATTTTTATATATCTATATCCATCTTTATGTGTATCCATATGTGTGTGAGCTATATACTACATATTTCATAATTTAAAATAAAAAAATTAATTTTCAACAAAGACAAAGGAATTCAATGGGGGAAAGGACAATCTTTTTAACAAATCGTGATGGAACAAGATATCCACATGTTAAAAGCATGAACCTCCGTGTGGATACCTTGACGGATAATACCATCCATTAAAAATTTGAGATGGACAACAGACCTAAATGTAAAAGCCAAAACTATAAATCTTTTAAAAGAAAACATAAGAGAATATCTTTGCAGTCTTAGGCTAGGCAAAGAATTCTTGAGCTGGATACAAAAAGCATGAACCATAAAAGACAATTTTGATAAACTGGACTTTATAAAAATTAAAAACATCTCCACATCAAAAGATACCCTCATGAAAATGAAAATATAAGTGAAGACTAGGATAACTAATACACACACACACACACACACATACATGTATACATATATATATATACACACACATGCGGAACCCTGGTGGTGCAGTGGTTAAGAGCTCAGCTGCTAACGAAAAGGTCAGCAGTTGGAATCCGCTAGTCACTCCTTGGAAACCCTATAGGGCAGTTCTACTCTACTCTGTCCTATAAAGTCGCTATGAGTTGGAATCGACTTGACAGCAACAGGTGTGGTGTTTTTGGTTTTATACATATATTCATACATATGTATATGTGTGGGTATATATATGGCATTATGTATGTATATATATATTAAAAAATACCGTTGCCGTTGAGTCAATATACATACATATATCTGACATTTTTATATGTGTGTGTAGATGTATGTGTCTGTGTGTGCGTATGATAAGACTTGTACCCAGAATATATAAAGAACTCCTACAGCTAAATATCAAAAAGACAAATAAGTCAACACATAAACAAGCAAAAGTTTTTGAATATAAACATCAAGAAAAAGCAAATTAAAGCTGCAATTACATACCATTTCATACCTAACAGAATGGTGAAAATTAAAAAGGTAAGCAATACCAAGTACTGAGAAAAATGTGGAATTGGAGCTCTAATATATGGCTGGTAAGAATATAAAATGGCACATGAACTTTGAAAAACTGTTTAATAGTTTCTTCTCAAGTTAAAAATAGTCCTAAGTTATGACCCATATGAGAAAATAGAGATAGTGGGTCAAGTGAAGAATAAAAAAATCCACCATACCGGTCTGAGAGAGAGAAAGAAAGAGAAAGAGAATACAAACATATAAAATAAAGGAGAAGAAATTATGATAGAAGGAATTTGAAGGAGAATGAACTCACACCGAGACATGCCACCACAGATATTCAAAGCATCAAGCATAACTAGAAGATCTTAAACATTTCAGAGAGAAAAGAAGCAGTTCGGCTATTGATAAATTAGAATAAGACTGGCATTAGATGTTTCATCAGCAACAATGGAAGTTAGAAGACCATGAAACCTTCCAAGATTTGAAGGAACATGATTTTGATTGTATACCCAGCCAAACGATCAATTATAAAAGCAAAACAATAATTTAAAACCATATAAATATTAAAAAATAAAATCACTATCCACAAATGTTTTGTGAACATGTTTATTTTATGATGTACTTTAGCAAACAGAGGAGAAAACCAAATAATAGCAGATGTGGGGTTCAGGAAATAATAACACTTATCCAAGATTTCAATGAATATAAATCCAGGGTAGAGGCTATACAATAGGCCTAGAAAGCAATCTGTTCTAATTAAATACAAATCATTGGGCTCCAAAGGAATTCTTTCAAAAAGAGAAATAGAATGGCAGAGTCCAAGCTATACAAATAATGAGAAGGCCTGGTTTAAAAAGCGTACACTTTCCCAAGAAGAAAGCTGAAAGGCAATCATGAAAGTGAGGAGGGTTAAAAACTATGTATTTGTTCTAAAAAATAAACTTAACTATGACATTTTTTCCACTGGAGAGAGAAAAAGAATCCATTTGACCTTCATATTATAAATATTTTCCTTAGCATGGCACAAGGATCGTGCAATTAAAACATAGGAAACAAAATGAATCATAGCATACTGCTTGGTTCTAAATTGACGAATATATACAAAGCATGTATTAAAGAAAAAATATATTGTCTCAGTTATCTAGTGTTGCTATAACAGAAATACCACAAGTGGGTGCGTTTAACAAACAAATTTATTTTCTCACAGTTTAGGAGGGTAGAAGTCTGAATTCAGGGCACCAGCTATAGGCGGTCAGCTTTCTGTCACTGTTGACTGTGGTGGAAGGTCACTGTCTCTTCAGCTTCTATTTCTGGCCTCCCTGGTGATCTTCATGTGGCATCCAAGTAAAATGAAATCCTTGACAACATCAATATTTTCTTTATCATGATGTTGCTTATTGATCCAGTTCTGGGGATTTTTGTTTTCTTTATGTTGAGGTGTAATCCATACTGAAGGCTGTGATCTTTGATCTTCATCAGTAAGTGCTTCAAGTCTTCTTCACCTTCAGCAAGCAAGGTTGTGTCATCTGCACATCGTATGTTGTTAATGAATCTTCCTCTAATCCTGATGCCACATTCTTCTTCATATAGTCCAGCTTCTCTGAACTGTTTTAAAGCCCTGGAACAGAATAAGAGAATACTGCATAGTTTAAAATCAGGAAAGGTGTGTGTCAGGATTGTATCATTTTACCATACTTATTCAATCTGTATGTTGAGCAAATAATCCAATCTCCCACATCAGGCTCCTGAAACTTTCGGTATCCACACAGGAGATTGGTCACCGGCGGGACTGTGGAGAGCAACGCACATTCAAAGAGGTGTGGTTGGGAGCTGTTTTTGAGCCCACCGTTGTAGCCACTGTGTCAATCCATCTTGTTAAGGGTCTTCCTCTTTTTCACTGACCCTCTACTTTACCAAGCATGATGTCCTTCTCCAGGGACTGATCCTTCCTGATAACATGTCCAAACATGGGAGACTTAGTCTCACCATCATTGCTTCTAAGCAGCATTCTGGTTGTATTTCTTCCAAGACAGATTTGTTCATTCTTTTGGCAGTCCATGGTATATTCATTATTCTTCACCAACACCACCATTCAAAGGCATCAATTCTTCTCCAGTCTTCCTTATTAATCATCCAGCTTTTGCACGCATATGCAGCAACTGAAAACACCATGGCTTGGGTTAGGTGCACCTTAGTCTTCAAGGTGACATACAAAATATATTTTCAAAAGTTGATGTGAAAAGAGGTAGTTTACATATACTATTTAGAATTATAGAAGTAATCAATATGAAAACCAAAAATTGTGATAACAATCATTCAAAAATTTAGAGAGGAGAGGCTGTGTATGGTGTGAGCTGTCATGTTGTTGTTAGTTGCCGTGGAGTCAATTCTGACTCATGAAGACCACATGTACGCAGAGTAGAACTGCTCCTTACGGTTTTCAAGGCTATGATTTCTGGATGTAGATGTCATAAGTCAAAAAAAAAAAAAAAGAATTAGCAGTTTAACTTATTACTCAACATAAATATCAAAATTAGAAAAGAAAAGGTTAAAAGTTAAAAGTGGTTATCTTCGAAGAACAGAGTAGGAAAGATGAGATAGCGAAACCGTTAGATTTTATTATACAATTCTACCACAGTATGCTATTTGATTTTCAATTATATGCCTCTATTACTTAGATGGAAAATGAAAAACCAAAGCAACCAAATAAATAAGATGCAAAGGATTTGAAGAGATAAAGCACTATGTTAGCATAGTACAGCTCAGTGTTCTGCTTCAACCCTGTTGAAGCTGATGGGTGTACACAGAAAGGCTCACCAAAAAATACACAGACACACACACACACGATAAGTAGAAGATAGCTAAAGATGGAGGATGACAGCTGAGGTGAGAGGTTAGGTTGAGAATAAACATAATGTAAGTAGTTGGGTTTGAAAATTAATTCATCCAACAAGCATGTAAGTTAAATCATTAGGCTGCTAACCAAAAGACTGGAGGTTGAGTGGACCCAGAATCGCCAAGAACAAAAGTCTAGTGATATACTTGTGAAAAATCAGCATATCCGTAGTGAGAACTACGGAGCCTAGTTCTACTCTGACACACGTGGGGTCGCCACGAGTGGGGATCCACTACAGGTTAACAGGTTTATCAACAAGTCGGTTTCCATCCCCCCCCACCCCAACCCGCTGGGCCAATCACAGTGAACAAGACACAATTTCTGCTCTAAAGAATTTGGAGTCCAATGCCTCAAATGGAGAGAAAATGTAAAAAAATGGGGCAAATGATGATTTCATCATGAATAAAACAGTTTACACATTTAACTGGAAAATGCTACTAGTCGTTTATTTTATATAATCTTCCCTCAAAAAGTTGACTTTGTCCCAAGTAGAAACAGGAACAAGGAAGTGGCCTTAGAAAGCAACCATTGACAATCCTAAAGCGACTTCCTTCCACTTTTTCACTTCTTCCCATTGCACAGGGGAATGTTCAACTTGGACAATGGACTAAACTCTGACAACCAGAAACAAACCAAAGCAATAGTTCGCATCTGTAGTGAACAATGGAGGGGTAGATTCTGTATTGACTAACCTCTTCTTTTATCCTTCCTTTGAACCAGTAGTGCAGTGGTTACTTTTAAAGAGCTGTCTACAGTACCCAGAGGATTAAGGTAAACCTGTGATAAGGTAGAAGGCAGCTGTAGCTAGACATGGAGATAGTACCCAGCAGCAAGAAGCTCCGCAGCTCCTCTATAGTTTCCGCTACGGACACGCAGGGCCACTCGCTGCACCTGACGTAATTCTACTTCCCACCAGACCCACTCACTATGACAGAAAACTAGGATACCCGAGTACCTGCCTCTGACTCTGGGGAAGCAGGCAGGCACACAAACAAGGGGGATGAAGCTTCTATACAGGACCCCGACACTGCCGCTGCGGCTGGCGTTGCGGCTGCTGTTTAGTGCACCAGTCCCTGCACTTGAGGAGCTTCTACAAAAGACACCACGCCTGGAGCGCTGGGAGCTCAGAGGTTGCGCTGGGCCTGCGAGCTTAATCACCTGAAATTTCCAGCTCAGAACCCGGCCAGAAGCACAAGGCCTGGCTCGGCCGCTGACAGTTCCCAGCCTTTTCCCTTCCCCGCCCCTCCCTCAGACTCAGCCCGGCCGTGTCCTTGGACTTCACAGCCTCCGCGACGCAGCCCGGAGGAAAGTCCCCGACTTCCGGTGCACTACCCCTTGCCTGATCCGGCGACAAAATGTAGCGACCGAAGAGGAAGTGCAAGGACGGTGCTGATTGAGGAAATGGGAGGCGGGGATCGTGATTTGGTTTGTGTACAAGACTGCGCAAAAGGAGGAGGGACAGAATTTGGGATTTAATTTGTGCATAGCTCAGGCATTTAGCGGGGACACCCCGCTGGGTCCTTTTCCATTGCCATTTTGTGAGGGAGGCTGTACCAGCTACGCGGGCCCGAGGCTATCTCGGAACCACAGGCCACGGATTCATGTGAGTGACGACCGCTACGGTGTGGGGGAGGTGAATTGCGACCGTAGGTGTTTGTGTTTCCTTGCTCGCGTCTGGGAGAAAGAACATGCCCAACGCATGCTAGTGGGAAATCTGCTTGCCCCAGAAGCAATTTTGGCATGAGGTAGTAGGGAAGAGCTTGAGACCTCCTGAAGGAGCCAAGTTTAAGAAATGGGATGCAGGGTCCGAGGGAAGGGTTGCATGGGAAATGATATGTTCACAGACATGTTTACTTTCATGTAAATGTGTGTATCTGAGGACTTGGATGGGGGTGGGGGAGACAAATTCATTCATTGATAGGTAGCTATAAAACACCCCCATGGCGAAGTGTTTAAGCGTTCCTCTGAAAGTGGGATGTTCAAACCCACCAGCAGCTCTGGGGAGAAAAGACCTGGCGCTCTGCTGTGGCGATCTGCTCGCGTACAGATTGCAGCCTAGGAAACCATATGGGGCAGTTCTACTCTGTCTTAAAAGGATCGCTGTGAGTCGGAATAGACTCCAGAGCACACAACAACAACATGCTGGCCCAGATGGCCTGCACTCAACTACTAACCTAAAGGTTGGCAGTTTAAACCCACCCAGCGATGCAGGGAGAAAAGGCCTGGTGATCTACTTTCATTAAGATTACCGCCAGGAAGGTCCTATGGAGCAGTTCTACATGGGGGCGCCATGAGTCACAGTCTGCTTTATGGCGACGGGTTTGGTTTTTTGGTATTTTTGTTATTATCATTTTCATCTTGGATAATCATGAAATAGGATGCATTTTTGCATATTAGTAGCTCTGAAGAGAGTCAACTTTTTAAATTTTGCTTAACCTGTCCAACCCTAGAAGTTTCTTTTTCTGGAATGTCTATCGCTTTGCAAAGAGCTAGTGTTCCACTAAAGACATATGGGAAATACTGGACAGTTTTATAACTTTTGGTGATTATATGTTAAAAGCATTTAATCTTCCTCTCCACCACCATAGTACTCAAAGTAGAATTTCTCCTTTAAATCAAGCAAATTATCTAAAACTAGAACTCTATTTCTAAATTGAGATTTTAAGAAATACTAACACTTTGGTGTCAAATTCTCCAATGTATCTTTTAGGTGTTTTGTTCTACTTAGTAGGGAAAAGTTAGGAAACAAGGAAGCGGAATAATTAACAGGTAATTAACAAAGAATACTACACAAACTCTTAAAAGCAAAGCACCACAGCACAACTGCTGTGTTTTCCTCTAATGGTTAGAATTTCTAGCCCAAAATGTATCTCCTGAAATCATCTATAATGTAATTAATACATATTTGAGTGGAAAATCGACCAAATGGAATTTCAACAGTTTTAAAATTCTTACCTGCAGAAGGTAGTAGGTAGTACTTTTAAAAGAAAACTATCACAGATGTTTGGAGGCTGACTGGTTTGCAGACATTTAGAGGTTTTCCAGCTTCATGTTTCTTAACCTTCCTTCAGGCAAGTGAATTTTTTTCATGCTGTGTTTTTGTGGAGTATATAACTAATTTTTTATTACGGTTTCGTTCAAGTGAGTATTTTTCTTAATGATCGTACTTAGAATATCATTTCATTTACTGATACGGTATGATCTGTTTATAATTACTGTTTAGACTTTAAAGCTGTTTCTTGTTTCTAAAATTGTGAATATATATTAAAATAAAGCCTTCAGTTGAAATTCAGTTTGTACTGAATGTAAAATTAAAAATCATAATGGAGCAGTTGGCACACTATAGTGAAATGAGCACTGGTTTAAATGGTAAAAGAATTGTCTGAACTTAAGCAGTGTTGCTACTAACTAGCACTGTCGTCCTGAATGTAACCCCACTTTTTAAAAATCTCTCCCAGTTAGTCTTTTTTTCTCATTGGTCTGAAAGCTGAGGGAGTGCAGAGATCATGTTTATTTTTGTTCTTTACTATAGACTCAACACATGGTACAAAATAGACTATGAGTAGAGCTCAGCTCATGAACTTAATTACTTTCAGGGACCAGGCAGGTAAGATAAATGGCAGGCATTTGGAGTGGTGAAGTCTGTATATGCCTTTCTTAAAGGCATTCAGATTGAGTTATTTCAAACACTCTTCTCTGGAATACAAAAGCATCCCTGGTCTGCAGGGTGACAGTTTTCAATCCCTAGAAGAGACTAGAGGTTAGAATCAAACCCTGAAGAATATCAGCATTAAAGGGACAGATCAAGAAAAAGGTGCTCTAGAAGACAAACGGAGGTAACAAGGAAACCAAAAAAAAAAATTAAAAAATCCTGTTGCTGTCAAGTCGATTAAAACTGCCCAATAGAGTTTCCAAGGAGCTGAAAGTATCCCCATTTTATGAATTAAGAAAATGAAGCATAAAGAAGTTAAGTAATTTTACCAAAGTCACACAGCCTGTTAAGGATGTGATTCAGCTAAGGTTTGTTGGGTGTAAATACTTTGTTTTAAGCACTGTGCTCTTCTGTCAGCGGTAGTGATCATTATCTGCATATTACTGGAAAACACTGACATAAGGCATTTCTTATTTTTTAAAAGATTTAACTGGCATTTAATCAGCAAACACTAGAAAGGTTGTTTTTATCTTTACTTTAAGAAAAGGATTGGCCAGGTAAGTTTATGATTGACTT